TAACAGAGCAAGGAAATTTTCACAGTGTAGCACAGTGCTTCCATTAGATGATAAATAAATAATTTAGTTTTATTAGCAGTTTATATATTTCATTTATTGTAAAAAGTTCATTTGTTGTTGTTTAAAAGATGTATATGTGTGTGATGGTATTTTGTATAATACCTGGACTGATAGCTGTATAAAACCCTCCTACTTTCGAGGTAAAGTGTATGTTATTGGTTCACGTGAATTTGGGGGAGGAGCTAAGATCCTGCAACGGGGATGGGGAACTGTATGTGTGTGTGTGTGTGTGTGCGTGCATAAGTGGGCCCACGTGAATCAGAGCAGTGATTGATCACATGGAAAGTTCTATAATATTTAATAAGGAGGTTTGTGTTGCAGTTTATTGCATTTTGGGAAATAATAATATATATATATATATATATATATATATATATATATATATATATATATATATATATACAGAAAATACACATTTAAGAACTATTTACAGTATATTTTTAGTTAATTTGTATAGAGTGGATATATAATTTCATTGGAGGGATTTCTCTGGGGAATTAACCCCTAAGGTGCCGCAGTATTTTATATTATTGTATTTCTTTTTGTTTGGTTAAATCTTTGTAAACCACTGACTAACTAACACTGTCATATGTGAGTTTATGTTTTCATATTTAATTTTTATTTGTTAAATAAATAATACAAGTGATTTAATTTAAACAATCTCTTTTTCTGGGTTATTAAACTGGCATACATTTTGTAAATACATCAACATAAAGCTCTTTGTGTCATTTAAAATTCTGTGGTTATAACACAGGGTTCCACAAGTTATTTCGTCGAGAGACAACCTAATCAGAACCTGGGAGTGCCCTAAGTGCACAGTAACTAATTCTGTGAGATAAGAGGGCGCTACAACAGTATGTCTGATAATATTTTTTTTTCTAGAAAAACTCTTATTTGTTTTAATTCGGCTAGAATAAAAGCAGTTTTTAAATTTTTTAAACACCATTTTAGGGACAAAATTATGAGCCCCTTTACGCTAAAGTTTTCCTCTAATCTACAGAACAAATAATCGATACACAATAACTTGGCTAATTACCCTTACGTGCCTAGTTAACGTAATTAACCTAGTTAAGCCTTTAAATGTCACTTTAAGCTGTATAGAAGTGTCTAAAAAAATATCTTGTCAAATATTATTTACTGTCATCATGGCAAAGATAAAATAAATCAGTTATTAGAGATGAATTATTAAAATTATTATGTTTAGAAATGTGTTGAGAAAAATCTGCTCTCTGTTAAACAGAAATTAGGGCAAAAAAAATAAAAATAAACAAGCAGTCTAATAATTCAGGGGGGCTGATAATTCTGACTTCAGCTGTATCTGTGTCTTTTGCACTTCATTCGCTGCATATCACTGTACATCTGTATTTTTATTTGTACATTCAATTTCAAACCTCACTCCCTAGACTAACATCAAGGGGTTTATAACATTGATTAACTAAATTGGCTGTAGTGTACGAGTGTGTGTGCATGTGAGAGTGCATGGGTGTTTTCCCAATACTGGGTTGTTGCTGTAAGGTCATCCACAGTGTAAAACATATGCTGGAATACTTTGCGGTTCATTCCGCTGTGGTAACCCTTGTTAAATAAGGGACTAAGTTGAAGGAAAATGAATGAATGTTTACAGATCTCTCATCTCTTTTGTTTGCTAAATGTAAACCGATGTTTCAATATAATCTTAGGATCTTTTACATTCTCTGTAAAATAGTGAGGTGTTTTACTGCAAACGTCACATGCATAACACTGGAATTGCTCAAATACAGTTTAGCTTAATTTCTGGTAACACTTTACAATAAGGTTCATTAGTTAATGCATTTACTAACATGAACTAATCATGAACAACACATGTACAGCATTTATTAATCATAATTGAACATTTACTAATGCAATATTAACATCCAAGTCCATGCTTGTTAACATTAGTTAATGCACCATGAGTTAACATGAACTAACAATGAACTACTGTATTTTCATTAACTAACGTTAACTAACATGAATAAATACAGTAGTAAATGTATTGTTCATTGTTTGTTGCCGTTAGTGAATGCATTAATTAACATTAACTAATGAACCTTATTGTAAAGTGTGACCTTATTTCTATAGTGCTTAACAGAGTACAAACTGTGTCAAAGCAGCTTCGCAAAGAAAAAAGACAGGAATGGAAAATCGGGGATGAAGGTTTTTTCGGTCTGAAAGCGTTTAAATGTTTCTGCTCTGCATACTAATCAAAATGACAAAAACCGTGGCTCCGTTCAGACCTCAGACTGTCTCACACTGACGCGGTTTTGCAGGATTATAGTGGTCATTCCTTCAGCCTTAGGCCAGTACGCGGTTTTTGTCAAACCCATGAGCTGTGAGAGACTCGTAATTTAAAGTCTTTGTGTTTTCTGTTGTCCATTTTTTTTTTTTTTTTGGAGTCGTATTTAAAGGAGGAAAAGGAAAATATAAAGAAAAAGCTGGAAAATGTACAGTAAGGATTTTGATTTCTTGATTCATCAGAGTGGTGGCGCAGTGGGTAGCACTGTCATCTTACAACAAGAAGGTTGCTGGTTTGAGCCTCGGCTGGGTCAGTCGGCATTTCTGTGTGGAGTTTGCTAAATTGTCAGTAGCGTATGTATGGGAATGAGAGTGTATGGGTGTTTCCCATTGATGGGTTGCAGCTGGAAAGGCATTGCTGTGTAAAACTTATGCTGGATAGGTTGGCGGTTCATTCCGCTGTGGCGACCCCAGATTCATAAAGGGACTAAGCCGAAAAGAAAATGAATGAATGATTTATCAGACTGTTAGCAATAACCAGCATCTTAATCAGAAATTTACAGTAGGATTTAAGTATGTCATGCCGCTTGTTTCAGTCACACGCTGCTAAAACAATGATTTGTATATTTGTACTGTAAATACTTAATACATTTAAACTTAATTGTGTTGTAAATAAACACGCTTTTCCAATCTTTAATTGTGCAGTTTTGGTGAGCCTGTGTAAATTGTAGCCTCAGTTTCCTGTTCTTAGCTGACAGGAGTGGCACCCGGTGTGGTCTTCTGCTGCTGTAGCCCATCCGCCTCAAGGTTAGAGGTGTTGTGTGTTCAGAGAGATGCTCTTCTGCAGACCTCGGTTGTAACGAGTGCTTATTTGAGTTACTGTTGCTTTTCAATCAGCTGGAACCAGTCTGGCCATTCTCCTCTGACCTCTTGAATCAACAAGGCATTTGCGCCCACAGAACTGCCGCTCGCTGGATATTTTCTCTTTTTCAGACCATCCTCTGTAAACCCTAGAGAGGGTTGTGTGTGAAAATTCCAGTAGATCAGCAGTTTCTGAAATACTCAGACCAGCCCGTCTGGCACCAACAACAGTCCTCTTACTTCCACATTCTGATGCTCGGTTTGAACTGCAGCAGATCATCTTGATCATGTCTATATGCCTAAATGCATTGAGCTGCTGCCATGTGATTGGCTCATTAGAAATTTGCCTTAACGAGCAGTTGGACTGGTGTACCTAATAAAGTGGCCAGTAAGTGTATATCACACTAGAAAAGAACTTTGGTTCGTTCATTAAACAGTTATATTGTGATAAACAGAAGGTAAAAGAGAGACAAAAGTAATAATAAATAATTCATAAAAAAAAACACTGCATTTCTGAAGGGAGCTTCACAGAGATGAGTGGGCCTCTTCACTCTCTATAAAAAAAAAAACTCTCCCCTTTCTTACTCCAGCACTTAATTCTCTGAGCACTAGCAGTTGCTTTGTATAATCAGCACTTGTTGTGTGTATTGCTTCTTCTTGTTGAATGCTGCTGAATGCCTCCTAAGTTGTAAAGCACTTTGGGCCCTATCATACCCCCGGCGCAATGTGGCAGGGCGCAATTGTTGTTTGCTAGTTTCAGCTAGGCGCAAGAGTTGTTTTGAGGCGTTGCGCTACGCTGTTTAAATAGAAAATGCATTTGCGCTCATATGTGCGCCCATAGGCGTTCTGGTCTAAAAAGGGAGGCGTGTTGAGGTGTATTGCTGGCGCGTTGCTATTTTGAGAAACTATTATAGAATTTTCAATGGACCAAAACAAACCCGGTCTAAACTCCAGCGCAGAGTTGCGCCTCGCTTACACATTGCAAGATGTAGAGCAATACGCAAATATCTTTACATATGAAAAATTATTAAAATATTTAGGATATATAAGATATAATATATATATATATATATATATATATATATATATATATATATATATATATATATTTATTTATTTATTTATTTATAGGATATAAATATAAAGGATTAAAATATTACACAACATATTATTTTCTAGCCTACATAAATATAAACACCACTGCTTTTATGCCTTCTTCATCTCGGGAGGCTTTTTCAGTTCATTCATAACAATTTGCTTTTGTATAAAGTTATTATTATTAGCAGTATTATTTATTATATCCATATTTATATTTGTTTTATTAAAAACAAGCTTAGATTTGCCCACCTGTCAGGTTTCAGACCATATGGGGCACAGCATGTGTATTTGGATGTAACTCAGGTTTTTGAGCACACTTCATTATTATTGTTTATTTATTCGTTTGCTGGAAATTAGAACTGAATTTAGAAATAGTTTTGAAACAAATCTTTGCGCTTAACAAACAAAATAAATTATAAATTATATTATATTTAATTATAAATTAAATGATGTTTTCTTGCTAGTGAAATGTTCAGTTTTTCCACTCGCAAAGTGCGTCATGTAAATAGCAAATGTGCTTATGGCTCAATGCAGCTGACTCTTAAAGGGAATGAGATATGAGACTCTGATTGGTTTATTTTCAAAACACACCTATAACTCATTAAGAAAATAACTTTGCACATGGATGGTCAAAATAGAGCCCATTGTGTCTGCTAAATGACTAAATGTAAATGCATATATACTGTGAGATGTTAGCTGTGAAAGTGACGTGTGTTTCCTCTCTGCAGCAGGAGATTGTGTACCAGTATCCTCAATCTGAAGCTTCAGCTCAGCTTAAAGCAGTGAGAGGGATTTTCCTGACGCTCTGCGACATGCTGGAGAACGTCACCGGCGGACAGATCATCAGGTCACACACTATACTCTCTCTTTAGCCTTCGGGAGTTTTATTTATATATATTTTAACTCTCTTCTGGTCCTTGAAGGGCTTTTTGACCTGCAAAAGATGTTTGATATACAGTTAAAGTCAAAATTATTAGCCCTCCTCTGAAATTATAACTTTTTTTAATAAATATTTAATAAATATGATGTTAAACAGCAAGGAATTTTTCACAGTATTTCCTATAATATGTTTTCTTCTGGAGAAAGTCTTATTTGTTTTATTTCGGCTAGAATAAAAGCAGTTTTTAATTGTTTTAAACCCATTTTAAGGTCAATATTATTAGCGCTGTTAAGCAATATTTGTTTAGGATTGTCTACAGAACAAACCATCATTATATAATGACTTGCCTAATTACCCTAGTTAAGCCTTTAAATGTCACTTTTAAGCTTAAAATCACTGAGTCTTTTCCATATATTTAAAATGTAATTTGGTCTTATATTCAAAAGTTGAATTTTCAGCGTCATTATTCCAGTCTTGGGTCAAACGATCCTTCAGATCATATTAAAGTGATTTCTAAAGATATTTCTAATTATTATCAATGCTGAGAACATTTGTGCTGCTTCATATTTTAGTGGAAACTGTAGTGTTTCTGTTTCAGGATTTTATGATGGATGGAAAGAACAGCATCTGTTAGAAATATAAATCTTTTGTAACGCTATAAATAGATTTACAACCACTTTAGCTTTTTAATTCAATAGTGAGTTAAATTAAAACTACATTTTTTTTAACATTTTATTTAAAAGTCTTACTTAAGACTTTGAATGCCAGTGTATTATTATTATTATTATTATTATTATATATTTATTATTGTTAATTTTATTATTATTATTATTATATCTTTATTTTTATTATTATTATTATTATCATTATTATTATTATATCTTTATTATTATTATTATTTTAAATTATTATTATTATCATCATCATCATGATCATCATCATCATTATTATTATTATTATTATTATTATTATTATTATTATTATTATTATATGTTTATTATTGTTAATATTATTATTATTATTATTATTATTATTATTATATCTTTATTTTTATTATTATTATTATTATTATTATTATTATTATTATATCTTTATTATTATTATTTTTAAAATTATTATTATTATTATCATCATCATGATCATCATCATCATCATTATTATTATTATTATTATTATTATATCTTTATTATTTTTATTATTTTTATCATTATCATCATCATCATCATCATGATAATTATTATTATTATTGTTATTATTATCATTATTTTTATTATTATTATTATATCTTTATTATTATTTTTTAAAATTATTATTATTATTATCATCATCATCATGATCATCATCATTATTATTATTATTATTATTATTATCATTATTTTTATTATTATTATTATATCTTTATTATTATTTTTTAAAATTATTATTATTATCATCATCATCATGATCGTCATCATCATTGTTATTATTATTATTATTATTATTATTATTATTATCATTATTACTTTTATTATTATTATTATTATATATTTATTATTTTTTATTATTATCATCATCATCATGATCATCATTATTATTATTATCATCATCATCATCATTATGATGTATGCATAAAGGATATCTAAAGGCTACATTATATAGTTCTGATTTGTGTCCGGTTAGTCTGAGCATCTCTTCTATTTGCCCTGTTGTAGTTTTACAGTGATATTAATGGTGTAAATGACATCTGTTTGTTCTGGTTTATATTGGTTTAATCTGAGCATCTCTTTTATTTGCCCTGTTGTAGTTTTACAGTGGTAATAATGGTGTAAATGACATCTGTTTGTTCTGATTTATATTTGTTCAGTCTGACCATCTCTTCTTTTTACCCCTTTTAAGTTTTACAGTGGTATTAATGGTGTAGCTGATGTCTGTTTTCCCCCAGCTCCTCTCTGTGGCTCCAGCAGCAGTTGGTTCATGTGGGCTACTGGAAGGAAGAGTCCAATCTGCTGGTCATCGCTGTACCGGCCAGCAGGTCAGTCTCATCTCTATAACCGTATTCTAGATGAACTAGCTGATCATTTCAATGAACTAAAATGTAGACATAATAATACCTATTATTATTAATAATAGTAATAATAATAATAATAATATTAATAATAGTAATAATAATAATAATGATGATGATGATAATAATAATAATAATAACTACATACAACAAATATTTAAAATAATAAATTATAGATTATTACTACACTTGAATACATTTGCATTTTGTTCAGTAAAATATACAGATTACCTCCAAATCTGTAAAGTGCTGAGTGTCCAGAAAAGCACTTTATAAATGTAATGAATTATAATTATTGTTGCTATATTATTAATAATTTAGAAAAAATAAATCTGCGAAATAAAAAATATAGAAAACTGAAATTTTCAGTCAATAAAAATGTTATAATTAAAATACATATTATTATTAATAAAAAATTAATAAATAATAATATTTAAAAATAAGAATAATAATTATTATTATTAACATCATAAATCCTACAAGTACTAATATTTTATAATGTATTTGATATATTTATAAAATATTTTATAAATATTTAACATTTCTAATTTTAATTGTAATTGATTTTATAACTACATTTTAATACATTTACATTTTGTTTGGTATAATGTACAGATTACCTCCAAATTTAGTGTCAAAAAAATCACAATATAAATGTAATGAATTATTATTATTATTATTATTATAATTATTAATTTAAAGTATAAATAAATCTTGGGAAAAATATACAGACAACAAAAATGTACTATAAATCATTAAAATAACAAATATTAATCATAAATAACAATAATAATTTATTTTATTAATTGTCATTATCATAAATAATCACTACTATTTTATTTATAATCACATTTTAATGTATTGACATTTTCTTTAGTCTAATGCACAGAAAAAATACTTAAAACTTTAATGCACTTAGCAACTGCTATATGAATGTAATTAATTATTGTTTAAATTAATTTTATTGTATTTTTCCATTTCTCAGCTGTTTGTTTATGCTGATGTTTCTGCCAGTTTCACTCTTTGCAGTAAGTGTTTGGAGATTATTGAAGTGTGTGTGTTTGCAGGGTTCCTCTGCTGTATCTCCAGACTGTGATTGAGGGAGTCGTGCGAACGCTAAAGGTCATGTATGGCTCTCTCGACAGGTAGACATGTGTTTCAATATATATATATATATATATATATATATATATATATATATATATATATATATATATATATATATATATATATATATATATATATATATATATATATATATATATATATATATATATATATATATATATATATATATATATATATATATATATATATATATATATATATATATATATATATATATATATATATATATATATATATATATATATATATATATAT